GAGTAACGCTCAGATCGGAATCACTCGATCTCCGGTGAAGCGGCACGTTGGCGAGCGTTCTAGTCGCCGGTGACTGGGACATTTTCGGAGCCATCGTGGCAACAGCCGGAAGCGGACAGGATGGACTGACCGACGTCTCATCTTGTTGCCTAAGATCGGGAGAAGGATGGGACACACGCGAGTTGTAAGTTATATTAGCATTGTTAGTGGGCATAGCGCAATCAATATGACATGATGTTTTTTCTAGATTACAGATGCAACTAACAGACACCGCGGATATCGCGTCGGGTTTCCTGCGGCCATTCCTCAGTGATTTTCCCGAGGTTCCGGATGAACCGTCATGCGGACGGTGAAATATAGGAGATGGAGATGTGCGCGTGCGATCGGTTAAACTAACGAGAGAAGAGCCGCAGGAATGAGAGGTGACATAGGGAATCGGATGCTGACCTGAGGAAAGACGTTCAGGAATTGAGCGAACGCGAGGAACGTGAAGAACATTCTTCTTGTGACATCTGTGCGACGAACATCTCCTTGTAGATGCGCTATGGGAAGGAAACTTATCGAACGAATTCCTCGACTTTCTTGAGTCCTTGCGGAAAATCTTCTCGAGTTTTCTCTTCTTGCTCCTCAACGATACATTTCTTTTGCTGTGACACGTGGGTACCATCATCTTTGTATCAATCAGCTTGATCAAATCACGCATGCTTCTCCGTCTCTCGATGGTCGCCATCGCGCAACCTTCTTTGTTCGATAAGCTAGTCCATGTTGTTACATATGGTAAATTGATCGCCAGATCATTCTTCTCCTTGTCTGCGTTTATACATTCTTCCGATTCTTCAGTGCAAGAAGGAGACTTAAGTCGCGCCGATAAATCTTGTTCATGTTTCATCAAATAAACATGATGTGTCTCGGAAATTGATGATCTAGATATAACATTGCTATGCCTCTTATCATTCTCTATTTTTAAATTTTTTTTATGCTCGTTTTCAGAAGTGTCGGATACTTGTCTTAAGTTATCGGTCTCTTGATTATCAGATGAATGAGATAATTCTGAAGTAAAGATATTGGCCTCAGTTAAAACATATGAATTTATAATATCAGACTGACTTTCGCTATTCGAGAACCCAGACGAATCCGAATCTATTCTGTCTTGAGTGTCCACGATGATTATGGGGATTGTATCATTTTGTATGTCTTCCGTGCTCGCTAAGTTTAGACTTGATAGTGAACGATTCATCGATTCCATCTGCAGAGTAGAATCCGTGCAGCTTTCCGCGCTGGAGTGCGTGATGGGAATTCTCTCCTGGAGGCTCGACGAGTCCTCCGCTTTGTCGGAGTCTCTGTCAATTGAGTATCTCGAATCCTCCAAGATATTGTAACTCGTGGTGTCCTCCGATAATTCGTCATCTGTAGAATTACTGTCATCGAAGGAGGACGTCTCCGTTTCATCGATTAAGGACGCGACATCTTGTTTCTGTTCTTCGCTCTGGATGTTACTATCCACATAAGGATTTTGTGTACAACATGTTTCTTTTTTTATCTCTTCGTTAAGTTGTTCTTCGCTGGGAAAAACTGAAATAGGATCAGTATTTTTTATATTTTCTAGAGGCATATTATGTATAGATCCAATTAGTAACGCGGCCATTATCCCACCCGTCTTGGTATCTTTGAGGCTTCTATCCTTCTCGGGATTCATGGCGAACGAGTTGATCGTATTGGTTTCAGAATCGGATTTCGCGGCAGAGTGATTCTCTTCGCCGACCGAGTCAAATTTGCTACGCAGGTGTTTAATTTGCTTGGAGAGACGATCTTTTGGCGATTCTTTCTTCGTGTCCTCCGACATTAACATAGTACGTATAGATCTCATCGTTTCATCGATTAAACTCCGACTAATTTCCGGAGATGGAGTAACATCTGAACTATTGGACGTGGTTATCCTTAAACTCACCATGCTCGACGTATTGGATCGTAAAAAGGGAATACGCTTGACATGTTTCCTTCGCGCTTCAGCAAAATATCCAGGAGCCTTTATAGCGCGTTCCAGGCGCGTTAGAGACGACGTGGACTGCATGTAAAACGGGAGATTCCTGTTTCTACGAATGGGATACGAAGCGGGAATTGAAAAGGGGATGAACGGCGCGCTGTTGTCAGAATAACGTTCCGTCCGCGCTATCGTGCGTGAAGAAAGCGCAAATGCGATCCTATGCAAACGCATGAGGGTAGGGAACAAGAAGAAAAGTATTAATTAATTCGTATACCTAAAAAAGTATCATATAATTAAAAACAATAAGATGGACGATTTAATTCAAGTGATCTGGAAACATTATAATTTAGACGCTATTTTATGAAGAATAAACAGTATAATAGATTCTTCTTTAAAAATTGAACATAAAATCAAATGCTTTAAAGAAATTGTAAAACGTAAAGCTAATTCTATTACGTAAAAAAGATTAGATCAAATTAGTAGATATGGAATTAAGAAAATATTTCAATGTCAATTGACTGCCAATTCAGATATCAACGTTTTATTAACGATGATAAGCAATTTGATTTGATCTATTCGTAATATCGAAGTAACGAGAACCTAAATGAAAGATAATCAACATTTAATTGCAGATAAAATTAATTCCAATAAATTCGGATCGTCCATATTTATTTGCCGCACATTATTTTCAACCACAGTAATAGAACGTTTCAGCCATAAAATAACTATATTTTCTTGTACGAAATTCTCGAAATAGCTTGTTTGCGAGTGCCAACTTTAGCGTAGATTATGTGAGTTAGCGACACCTATTTAATTGGCTCGTACGATGCCAGACAGAATTGCGCGATAATTTATCATTTATCATTTATGATCGAATGCGCAATTATATTTGAACAAGGACTGCCCGACTAATTCATAACTGGATATGTAATAAAAGTACTTACTCCTCGATATTAATGCTATCACAAGGAAAACCGAGAACATCGTGCAGTTTTACAAGCGTTACTGCAGTGCCTATACCTCTGGCAACGATACCAGATTCGCCTTCCAAATCGAAGTTTTGCAGATATCTAATGCCAAATATCGAATTATAAAATAAAATAGTATATTTTTATAGATATTTTACAGATAAAATGTCTTAAACCAATTTAATTTTTAACGAATTTGAATGTTATGATGAAATAATAAAAATAATTGAAAGTTTTTCTAAAAAAATAAAATTTACCCAATCACAGCATTTCCACCAAGATCCAGTGCTTTTAATCCAATTTTTCTTTGGACCTCTCCGCTCAATTTAAAAAATAGAGTCTGCCGTGCCTCGTTTGATGCTCTAGGTGTTCTTATTTTATCAATCCATTTGTATTCCGGATCGTCACTAACTACAAGTTCTTCAACAAATCCATGTATCATTTGAGCATGATATCCATATGGTATATTAGGTGCTAAAATGTATTTAAAATATTTATTGCAGATTTCAAAACATTTCTTATAGTAAACTTATATACATAACATAAATATTAAATTTGGAAAGCTAACAATCAATAAAAAATGAATTATGAAATTAAGTATATTATATAAAATGAAGTACCCTACATAACATTTATTTTTCTCTTAAAATTATCACTGTCTGCAAAAATTAAATTATTTACAGTAAAAAAATTGTACTCCACAGGACGACTGTCTGAACTTATTGAAATCAGAGAACAGCTCTACTTTAATGATAATATTAACTTCACCACGTATGCCATGCATTGTATCATATACAGGTATCCATCCAGTCATAACTGACCCTATAAAAAATATACAAAGCAAAGAGAAAACATTTGAAAAATATACAAAATATATAAGTGTATTTCTTATAATTATACATATCACCTTGAGAACCAGCAGTGTTCATAGCTGCTTCCAGGGTCCAAATATTTTTTACAGAAGGCAGTACACCAGGTAACAACAATGGATTCAGATTTATGTAAACTTTGCCTATCGCATCGTTAGCAGAATATGTGTCATGGTCCATTAATCTGATTTGCAATGGTTCGTCTTGCAACTCTGCATCGTCAACTTCAAATCTATACCATTCCGAGTTCCATTGCGGATTCAGGGACTTTCGGCACACGTCTGTCTTGTAAGTTATATTGCCAAATTTCAATTCTACGTAAGCGTCTGTCGTGTCGCCGGAACGGTCCATCACTGGCAGATTGCGACCTGCCAGTATCTTTACCTTTATTTTTCCAGGCATCGTGTTACTTTGATTCTCAACAAGCAATCTATCCATAAAATAGATTTCACACGTTTACTTATCTGTGCATCATGTTAAGGTAATGTAATTATAATTATTCAGTTTATATGAATCATTTATGATTGGGTCATCTAAATTGAATAATTATTTACATTAATATAAAAAGAATATATTTATAATATTCAAATAATATAGAAATTATAATTTACAGATAAATTTATAATCAAATTTTTATAAACATATTATATTAAATATATTAAATATATCTACAAATGTATATATATATATATATATATATAGCTTCTATATTTCTTTGCACCAAGTAGTACGTTACACTTATACTACTTATTTAACAGACAACTTTCACACTTTTACTAATTCTACTTATACACCTTATAAGGCTGAATAAAAACTTAAAAAAATGCTCTCAAAGTAGATGTTTTTTATTCGTGAAATATGAAATCCGATACATGGCAAAACCAAGGAAAATTCATCGCTAATTTCGCTAGCAACACTAGCAATGTTCACTCACCATGTCCCGTATTTAACCCAGCAATGACACTTCGCGAGTGATTTAATAACGAATCGCTTGTCTACGGATAATCACATCTTCCCAATTTTTCTCGCTCGACAATGTTCGACGATTAACCTCCCGATCTCTCTCGCTCCGAGTCCCTCCAATTTCGAACAGCGAGCTCCATCTAGTAGAATCCAGGGGAACCGCACATCCTACCGGCCCGTGTTGTCCCCTCTGCACGATAACCTATAAAAAGCTGGGAAAGAAACGGTGAGAAGCGGGTCGCTCGAGCTTACTGGAGATCTGTCGGCGCGCGTGCGAAATTCGCGGTTTTTAAAATGGACGACGAGACCGACCAGGAGACTACGATCGAGGACGACTACTATACGTTCCTGAACATCTCGAGAAACGTGAGAACGCCTCGATGATCTGTTCCGTATGCAATTCGCCCGGTTTTCCAAGGGAATAGAAATCTCGTACATCTTCCACGTGACACCTTCGTCTTCAGCACGCTGACGTAACGATACTCTAGAGAATTCGTTTCCTTGCGACCGACACGAGGAATTGCGGATAAATTAATTGGAAAACGCGACGTCGATACTGCCTCACTCATTCTTAACATATTATTTATCTTGCAACACAATTTTTGGTTGCAGAACGCAAATCCGTTTGATCTTTGCATTACAAACGAGTGGATGTCATTTTAAATCCGTCCCTTTTTAGCTTTTCTTTCATAAAAGTTATCTTTTATTTATGATGTAATCGTATGGTCTCTGTTGTAATGATTGCATTCAATGTTCTAGGCTAGTCCTGAAGATATTAGCAATGCATATCGCAGACTTAGTAGACTCTATCATCCAGACAAGCATGTGGATCCAACGCTTAAAAAAGAAGCTGAAGTTCTTTTTAATCGCACAAAGAAAGCTTATGAAGGTATATTACAATATATTTAATACATGCATATTTATATCAGAAGAATATTGATTTAGAATTTATTTCATATAACTGATATCTTGCAATTATTTTTGTTATTCTTTTATCATTACTATATAGTATTATAAAATAAAATATTTAATTGCCTTCTTTATTTATTTGCAATATGAATTCTTAGATCATTGAAATTATATGTATATTATATTAGTTTATTTGTTTAAATATGAATCTTGAATGTAAAATGCTTGGTATTGTAGTGTTGAACGATCCACATCAAAGGGCGATTTACGACTCACTGGGAATCCGTGGATTAGAGACAGAGGGATGGGAAATAGTACAGCGTACAAAAACGCCTCAAGAGATTCGCGAAGAATACGAAAGGCTGGCGAGGGAGAGAGAGGAGAGACGACTGCAGCAGCACACCAATCCCAAAGGCACTGTAACAGTAAACATCAATGCCACTGATCTTTTCAGTAAATACGATGAAGATTACAGCGATGGGTAAGATCGATCAGTCTAAATTAACAATTACAATTAAAACATTAATAGTATTATGATAAAACACAGTAAAGAGATTGTTTAATAATGAAATTTTATTATTAAGCAGTATTATTAAATTTTAACAAATTAATAATTATAAATCCTTGATTAAAAAGTTATGGATCTAGTTTCAGCAATGGACTGTTTTCATGCATCGAAGTTAGCGGGATGTCATTTGCACAATCTATTGAAGCGCCTTTGACCCTGAGAGACACCGTAACTATGTCCGGTCAACTAGGAACTCAAAACGGTACGGGTTCCGGGTCCATCAATATCTCAGCGAAAAGGCTAGTATCTTCAAAGGGTTGGGTCGAAGTCGAGGTCGGAGCTGGCAACGGTCCAACGTTCTCCCTCAAAGCATTTCGCACGTTAACGAAACGATTGTTTTGTGACGGTGCAACAATACTGCAGTTTACGTCGCATGGCGTGAAAGCTGGCTACGTTGGGAGTATGTTTACTTGCGATTTTTGTAATATAAAAGTAACCATATAATTCTTGATCTTTTATATTATTCACATATTTATTTTGTTTTATGTAAGGAAGGATATCTTGAACAAAATTGTTATATTTATAGCTCTTGCGATGCAATTGGATAAACACATGGTGGGATACCTTACGTACAGAGCTGGCATTCAAGACGCCATGAGCACAATGATTGTAAGAGACACGTCTCAATCGTACACGGCATTTTCTATACATTTCGGACTTCTACATTCTTTCGTCAGCCTTAACTATACTTACAAAATGGAAGAGAAGCAACTTAAGCTTCGTGGTAGTGTCAAGTTAGTACTGTCAACGTTTCTTTATCCCGTTATCAGCAAATTTAATAATTATGTATAATTTGTTCTATATAATTTATAGAGCTGGAACATTTGGTGCATTTCTCGAATACGGCGCGGAAAAGAAGGTCTCCAAGCATAGCTCGGTCTCGGCAGCTGTACGCATCGGCGTTCCAACTGGCGTCACGTTAAAACTTAGATTGAGTCGCGCCTCGCAGGCGTACACGTTCCCTATCCATCTATGTGACGAAGTTCTTCCAGCTCCGATCTTTTATGCCACTGTAGCACCTATAATCACTTGGACGATCATTAAGAAGCTCATAATCGATCCCGTCGTGAAAGAGCGAACAGAGCGCGAGAAGGAGAAACAGAAAGAGATGAACAAGTCCAGAATGTTGGAGAAACAAAGGGAAGCCAAAGCGGCTACTGAACTAATGAAGGAAACCGTCAGCAGGATAAGAGCCGAGGAGGAATCCAAGAAAGGATTAATCATTACCAAAGCGTTGTATGGTCGATTCGTTTATCCACAAGATCGAGTTGCCACGGACGAAAGCGGACACAGAGACGAAATGATAGACGTAACGATTCCTTTGCAATGTTTAGTCAAGGATTCCAAACTAATCCTTCATAAGGCATCTAAGGTGCGCTCTTATAAACTCATCTCTTAAGTCAAAAGTTTTTATTTCATTTAAATCTTATTTCTTATTTTATATTTCAAAATCTTCTATGTCTATATTATAACTACAAAAATATACTTGACGGGAGACGCTACTGCATCTCCTGATATATATAAAATTTGACATTTTATTTTACATAAATAAGATTTAATATGTAAAGAGGATCTCCTATAATTAAGATAATAAGCTGTAAGTAAAAATCAAAAGTAATCGACTATGACTGATTAATCTCTAGCTAACTAATATTTATTTTTTCCAAAATTACAATTACCTCATTTCATTCTGTCACCGATTGTTAAAGCTTTAATCTCTGTAATTTCTTATAAACCAAAGTATATAAAGTGAAAATTGAATTGAATATTTGTAAATCATATGAAATCGTATGTTGTTATAGAGCCAACTACCTGGATTTTATGATCCATGTGTGGGAGAAGATAAGCAACTTTTGGTACAGTATCTCTTCCATACTCATACGCATGAATGCGTTATACAAGATGATGCACCTCTTAGGATACCAGTCTCATGTAAGAGTTCGCTTGTCTGTTACAAATAAATTTGTATTTAATGATTTGTCGATATATTATTTGTTGTTTCAGCACACAAAGTGAATACTACTTGACATACAGATTCAACATCGAAATCAAAAACCAGTCGTCGCAGTTCCCGTCATTGATTGACGTGTTACTTTGGTATAGATTTGTTCATTTTTAGAGGTTTAATTTTACATAAAAGGCAAAACATTAAATGTTGATCCTTTAAACTTTGTACATTAATGTCGTTTCTTCAGTAAAATGGTATTTTATTATTTGAAAATAATTATAAAAATATTTTAAATATGTTACATTTCACAGAAGTTTTGCGAAAAAAGTGTTCTATAGAAAAAAAATAGATCTTCTCTTACATAAATATTCAGCTGTATTCACGAACCTTTTAATCATGAGCTGCACTGAGATGTACTCATTTTGATCATTGAAGTCGTATTCCAAATATTTTAGAGTAAAAGTCAACCTGAACACAAATCTATTTACTGCCTTTAGAAATGTAATGATATACATACATACCACATAAAATAGAAAACATATTATAAATCCAAAAATCATATTGATCTTTTAATAGTCTTCTAAAGATCATTATGAATAAAAAATAACAATCAGCCATAGAATTATATTACATATGCATATTATTACATATTGAGAAAAACATTTGTTAATTAATTGCACAACATCGGATTACATCGGAGTTAAAAATATTAGCGTACGATTTATTCTTGTACAAAATAGATCGTTTTGACGATAATGTGTACATAATTATATACATAACTTCAAAAAATTATGTATATAATTTCTAATCATATAAAACAGATATCTATATAATCTATTCTATATACCTGCAGAAATATATTTGTATGTATATATATTTACAAATAGAGAGACTATAAATAGCTCGACATTATATCATGAAATAAATTTGCTCGTTGAATTATAACAAAGATCCTTAATCAGATTGAAATAATTTAGTTGCCAATTTTTCTTTCTAGTATGTTATTTTTCTAGTTTGCATTTTTCATTACTTAACAATATAAATTTATTAATTACGTTACATGCTAGTACTTAACATGACAGATTGTAAAAAAGTGTTCGCAGTTGTATCGGAAGGTAAGAATTTTCCGATCAATTTCAATTCATCATTCTTCGCCTGTAGTTGAGACAGTGGGGTCCAGGAGCGATCTTGTTCTAATCTAAACGAACCCATATAATTCTGTGAAGGAGCCGAACTACCCCATTCCTACAGATACAATAAGAAAAGTTAGATTTTACAAAAATACTTAATGATACAAAGATATTTACTTCTGGGGTAAGCATGGAAAAATAACGCTGTCCTGATTCTCGTTGATACAAATGATAGATGTGACCAGGTTGTTTCACGAAATTGCAAGATACATGATGCAACTTAGCGTTCCGTTCCGCTTCCAACAAAATACCCTCAGCCTGTCTTTGCAAAAATCTAATCTGTTCTGTGATCACTTGTAATTTGTTACATGCATTAGCTCTTACACAGTTATCTGCCTATATAAAAAGAAATAAATTAGTAAATATACAAAACTATTATAATTAAATTATAAATAATTTAATTATAAATATTACACAGATATCATATATTATACCTTTTCAATTTCCGTAACCAGTGCCATTAAATCCTGCTTACTTGATTTTGCTACAGCGGCTGGATCAACTAATGATATGCCTTGTGGCATAATATTTCTTTCCACTAATGCTACTTTAATAAAAAAATAATAATTATAAATAAATATTATTACACTGAGAAGAAATATAGTTGTAGTAACTAGTACAATGCTAAAATTTAAATACTTGCAACTAGTTTTAAAAAGTAATACGAACCAAAGTAATATCAAATATTATAAAAATATAGTATTCAGTACTATTTTAGTTCTTATTACTTCGTAAAACTAGTTGCAAATACTTAAATTATTAGAGTTAATTTAGGAGTTGTCAAAACTATATTTTTCTCAGAGTGTACATTCAAACTTGTCATTCATTTATCACAGATTATACCTGTATTTGGAAAATCATGCAGACTATTTGCTGCATCCGTGTTGCTGTTATCCATTATATGTACAATTAAGTATAATTACACAACAAATTACTAGATAACATTGATTACATAATGTCCAGTGATAATGTACAGTGATTAAATAAATAATACAAATTTTTTAATGTTTAAAAATTCAAAGATTTAAACATACAATAAAATAATTCTCGCCTCATTTTTGGAACAGACTAGAAAAACATAACACTATTCATTAAGAGACTATACAAAATCGTAGAATTATATTGAATTTAGAGAAACATTTGAAATTCAATAAAAAAGAATTTCGCAAAGCAACACTAACACACGAAAATAGATATTTCTTTCGTAATTAGAACAAAGCGTATCTGAAATTCAGATGAACGGTCGCATTAGAAAATCTCTTACGCGAGATTCTCGTATGTTGATTGGCTGTCAGAATAAGATTTTAAATATGCAGTCCGAAAAATAGTCCTCTCTCCAAAATAATTCTGAAGTCTTTCATTTATTACATAAACTTTTCTAATGAAGAATAGCAGGAAAAAAGAAAAAGTAAAAGAGGCAGAAGATAAAAAGTAGTAAAAATTAAGAATAAAGAAGCAGAGAGTACACATTTGTAGAGTGGGTTTTAAGGCTTGGCGCGAAAGGAATCGACATGGCCAGTCGATGTCAATACCAGCGACTCGTGAACTGGAAAGACACATAAAGGTTCATTCTAGCTATCTTTTTATCCCAGCCTCTTTTTCATGTGATAGCCAGGTGGACAAGGTGGGCATTTTCGAGCATTTAGCTTTGCGGCCTTTTATTATGTATAACGCTGTATGAAATTCTGTGTCGCACGACGCCAGAAAGTTCGTGACAGTCCCTGATACGTGAAGCGATTGATATCTTTCCCAGATCGCGCGTCGAAGGCATGATTACGACGGATTTCGTCGGTTTTCCGCAATCCTCGCGTTTACTATAATGCTACGCTGTCGCGCTATCGACTATTATTCTTACGTCAGGAGTTGTTAATGCTGGAGTTGTTGCTGTCATCCGACGTCCTGACGAATGTCTTGCGCGGGTATCGGGTGTTACTTGTAAACAATGTCCTAACCTCGAAATTTCTTTCAGATGTTCACGGCTAATGCAAAGATAATTAAGAGCGGTGGCTCGGAGCCCGACCAATTTGAGGCGAGCATCTCCAATGCTCTTCTGGAATTGGAGATGAACAGCGACTTGAAGTCGCATTTAAGGGAACTTTACATCACCAAGGCGAAGGAACTAGAAACAAATAATAAGAAGGTGAATTTCAATTCCTTATGTTCGTACAGCATGAATCATTCCAGCTATAGGTCTGTTTTTTATTCCTACTAGATTGCATTAGAACTCTTGCTTTTATCACAGGCTTGTCCAATTTGAACTCCCGAGCTAAAACGCAAAGCCATCGATGCAAAAAGATTCAATGTGGGTAAGATTTTGAAGACTGTAAAATGTTGATAAGCATCTAAGTGATGCTAGTCAACAGTTTATAATTCTTAAGATCTTTGATTGAATTTTTTTACATCAATGGCTTTGCATTTTGGCTCTGGAGTTCAAATTGGACAGGCCTGTTTTATCAAATATAAATATATATCTATCTCAATTTTTTTAATTAATTAATTAAACCTCAAAAGAATATACTAATTTAAATAGCCACAGGAAACAGACTAATGCTTATATTCATAGTAAAGCTTATATTTAATTCCTTCCTTAAATTTATCTTTAAATATTGTATGAATTATTTTATTGGCTACTAAACATCTAGAGATAAATTTAAGGAAATTTTAAATGTAAAGTCTGATTATAAATATAAGCATAAATATTGCAATAACATTATAAACATTGCAGCAATATTACAGCAAGCTTCTGTGCTGTATGTTAATGTGTATTTTTCTGTTTAATACCCTTGAAGAAAAACTATTGAATTGCTTGTATTTTTTACAGTCGATTATCATATATGTACCGATGCCAAAACTGAAGGCTTTCCAAAAGATTCAAACAAGGTTAGTACGCGAGCTGGAGAAGAAGTTCTCTGGCAAGCATGTAATGTTCGTCGGCGAACGTAAAATCTTACCGAAGCCGACGAGAAAGACACGTACAAAGAACAAGCAAAAACGTCCTAGAAGGTAAGAAAATGAAAATGTAATATTTGTTTTTATATAATTTGACAAGTGTAATTTAATTATAAGTCTGTTTTTTATCCGTTTTTATCAATATAGATTTATTTATCTTTTGAATGAGCTTTGATCTTGATGATCTTTAATCTTCATTCAATTTACTCTTTATCTTTTTTAATTCTTAGAATTAGAAAAAGATAAAGGGTTAATTGAATCGAGATTAAAACTACATTGATAAAAATGGACATTAGTTGAATTTTTTGTACAGTTTATCTTTCTTTTTTCTTTTTACGATTTGAGAGGAAAAAAAGAGAAAATTTTTTTTCTCAAGAAGTTCAGTTAAAGAAAATAGATTTTGGCCTTATTCTTTTTTTGCTGAATCATGGCACTTTTTGTATGATTTATTTTAAATGAAAAAAACTGTACCGTGTAAGAAGTCCAAAGAGAACAAGCCATAATTATTGTATGTGTCCACAGTTATTGTATTATTATTATTATTTATTATATTATTATTATTGCAGTATTATTATTATTTTATTTATTTGTAAAAACTGATTATTTTAATATTCAATACATGCACTATCTCGAATTCTGATTAACGTTATATAATCTATGTTTATATTTTAGTCGTACGTTAACTTCGGTATATGACGCTTTGTTGGAGGATATTGTTTATCCTGTAGAGATTGTGGGTAAACGAATTCGAGTAAAACTCGATGGCTCACAAGTTATCAAAGTTCATTTGGACAAAAATGAACAAACGAATATTGAACATAAGGTACATTTATTGAGTTTTTCTGCCCATTTTCTATACAGAATATACTTTATTCATTTAATATTATAATGTGATTCAAATTTTAATTCATCTTTTGACAGGTCGATACTTTCGCTTCGGTATATAAACAACTGACTGGACGAGACGTAACATTCGAATTTCCCGAATCTTATGTATGATTTATTAAATATTAAAACATTTGAAACAACGTATTATTTGTTACATTTATATTGATTTTTGTATCATTTTACATTTCCCTATTCCTTGTTCAAAATAATTATTTACTATTTGAAAATTTGCCGAAAAATTTTTTTATTGCAGTTTAGGATTTAAAAGAGACAAAGAATAAAAATCGTGAATGTATCAAGTAATATCGAATTAAAATATATTTTTTATTTTATAATTTCATTTTTAGTTATAATTAAATATCTTAATATTAATATATATGTCTTTCATTTGTAACAAAAATAATTCTAGTAATTTATAAAAGTATCATTATTTATTGCTATTAATTATTAATTATCCATAGAAGAATTCTGAATATCATTTTTATTATCAAATAAAAACGAATAGTGTGCGAAAAAAGTATAATTTTGTTCGATTATTTTTAATTTAATTATCGAAACATGAGTTAACATTTTTTTTCTGTATATATTTAATAACGTTAAATGTAAAAAAATCAAATCCAAAAAAAAAATTTGCGATTCGTTATTACTTGTAGTTATTTACAGATAATTGTTGATTTCTTTCTTTATAATGATTTACAAAATAATATCTTTTCCATCTATTTCAAATTTGATGTGATACTTATAATATTTTTTTATTTATTATTTCCGAAAAATAAAACTTTTTGTTATCACATATATGAAATAAAAATAGATTGATTGAATCTTCTTCCTTTAACTCTTTCTAATTATATACTTTTTCTGGGATCAAAATGATCTCAAAGTTCATTTAACCGACTGCCATATTCACAAGTTACGTCCTATGAAGTAAAAAAAATGATTGATTAAAGGGGTCATTTTAATCATGAAGGATTAAATTATAATTTAATTTTGATATTTATTGAAATATAATAAAAAATCTATGTAGATATAAGAAACAAATTTGGACGCTAAAAAAAAATTAATATTATTAAACGTATAAATAGAGTATAAGTTTGAACACTTTCGAAATAAAATTCTGTTCTCTTTATTTAATTTAATTTTTGAAATAACTATCCATCCAATCGGGAAATATTCTTAAAAATATTAACTTTTTACACAATAATAGAAATAAATATTTTTTTTTTTCTGAACATCGGCTTAATCCTTTGCATCTCGATAATAAAATAAAACCAAAAGTTGTACAAAAATCAAAATAACATCAAAATGAAAAAATAATCATTTTTAAAAAGTCAAGATGACCTCATTCAATAACTTAATTAAACGATAATGTAACTTTTCCATTATATATGTGACTTTTTTATGATTTTTGGAATGTGAATCGTTTTGTTTGGAATAATATCTGGAAAAATTTTTCACATCCCAGCAAACAAGAATAGATAAAATGGATTGAAATTTTTTTCTATCCGAGTGAGTATTTTAAATAGCGAATATTTTTTTTGGATTTAATTGGATTCAATTGGATTCAATTAGATGCAATTGGATTGAAAAATTGCATTTCCTATTCAAAATTTTGAATTGAACAGTATTCACAATGTGTGTGTTGTGTACAGAAAAAGCTAATATTATTTTTAAATTGAAATGCATCATATAATTATATAAAATTATATAATCATATGTTGTATATGAATAAATATGCTCCTATCCCAGCAAATGAGAACAGATTGAAATGAATTGATATGGATTGAGATTTTCAGAAATATTGATTCATGAATGTTTTTGAAAATGAATGCTTTTCAATTCTTTTAATGCGTACTTTAAAATCATAACTAGATTGGATGGGATTCGAGCTGACACTAATTTAATATTCGGAAAAAAAAAACATTTATATTTAAGGATTACAAATTTTATTTTATTAAGACATTTATAATAATTATACCTGAAATTAACTACTTCAAATTGATATTAAAAAACCTTAGTGGGATTTGAAAGGATCTCTGCATATGATTCTACAGTAGTACGGAACTCTATTCGTATATATAATATACGCAAGTGCGATTCCGCACATGATTGTAGAATCGGATAAAATATCTATCTGCATC